TTTTTTTTTTTTAAGTTTATTTATATTTTGAGAGAGAGAGAGAGACAGAGAATGCCAAGTAGGCTCCACACTGTCAGTGTTGAGCCTCATGTGGTGCCCAGACTCACAGACTACGAGATCATGACCTGGGCCAAAGTTGGGTGTTTAACCGACTAAGTCACCCAGGCATCCCCCACTAAGCTACTTTCTGTCTCTGTAGATCTGCTTGTTCTAGATATTTCATATAAATGCAATCATACAATATGTGGCCTTTTGTGACTGGCTTCTTTCATACCATCATGTTTTCAATGTCCATCCATGTTGTAGCATGAATTAAGGCTTCATTCCTTTTTACAGCTGAATAGTAATTCCGTTGCCCAGATATTCTATATGTTGTTTCTCCATTCATCTGGTTGATGGACACTCAGGTTGCTTTCACCTTTTGGCTGTTGTGGGTAATGCTGCCGTGAACACTTATTACAAGTTTTTGTGGGGACCCGTGTTTTCATCTTTCTTGTTTTTATACCTAGGAATGGAATTTCTGGGTGGTAAGGCCCCTGTGTAGCCTCTTTTGGGAGCTGCCAAAGTGTTTTCCAAAGTAGCTGCACCATTTATGTTCTCCCTAGCAGCATGTGAGTTTCCGATTTTTCCACATCCTCACCAACAGTTGTTATTGTCTTTTTTTTTTTTAATGTTTATTTTTGAGAGAAAGACAGAGCATGAGTGGGGGAGGAACAGAGGGAGAGGGAGACAGAGGATCTGAAGCAGGCTCCATGCTGACAGCAGAGAGCCTGATGTTGGGCTTGAGCTCATGAACTGTGAGATCACTACCTGAGCCAAAGTCAGATGCTCAACTGACTGAGCCACCCAGGTGCCCCGTCTGTGTTTTTGATTATAGCCACCCTAGTGGATATGAAGTATCTTATGGTGGTTTCGATTTGTGTTTCTCTGATGGCAAATGATACTGAGGCTCTTTTCGTGTACTTATAATTCATTTATCTGTCTTCTTTAGTCCTTTGCCCATTTTTTAAAATTGGGTTCTTTGTATTTTTATTATTGAGTTGTTCTTTTTTTTATTTTTGATTTTCTTTGCATTAAAAAAAAAAACTTGTTGCTTTTGATGGATAAAGCACAATGATAACCCAGCCTGGTGGCCCAGCAGAGCCAGGGCTGTCTTCCTTGGAGGTGGCTATGGCCACCTCAGACTTAGTTGAGATCCTCACCTGATCCTCACGGAGCTTGTGGCTCTGTGTCCTCAGTGCATCTTTCAGGGTGCACGACTCCGAGTTCACCTGCCACTGCTGCCTGCGGCTCCAGGGGCCTCTTCACTTCAAGGCCGTGCCTCTCCTTTTTTTGACATGAGAAACCCTTTTCTTTCTTGTCACACATTCTTTTAACCCACTGAGAACTTGTTCGGAGAAAGTAGTGCTGAGACTCTATGGCTCCCCCTTCAGGGTCCTGGCCAGTATAGAGTAGAGGTGGGCCCTGCCCACTCTCACTGAGTGAGGCTCTTGTGATGTTAGCAGGCTCCCTAACCGCTGACATATCCAGCACGTACCCCTCTGGCCTCAGGTTGCTGATTCTCCCACCCTTGACCTTCTCAGGTGGATCCATACCTTGCAGCTTTTTCCAGCTTAGAGATGGCGGTGAGATGGGGAGATGGTTCCTTCTTGAGTATCCCCTTGCCTGTGCCCAGTCGGAATTTAGGTTGTCTATTCCCTGTTATTCTGCCTATCAAGGCCACTTGACACCTGTGCCTCAAGGTCTCCTGTGAATGCCCTGCTGTGTTGAGTTCTCTACTCCTTGCCACACAGACGGGTCAGAAATACACATAGAGAAGGTGCTAGAGTATGGGGTGGCCTGGCCTCAGTACCCCCGGACCATACTCTTGGCCCCTTGCCCAGGGTGGGTAGGTGGGTGGGTGGGAGTTTACCCTGAATTCAGACAGTGAGGTCTCTGCACCGGCTGGAGTGTCCCCCTTTCTGCAGGGACCTATGGACTAAGCAATGCACTGCTGGAGACACCCTGGAGGAAGCTGTGCTTTGGAAAGCAGCTCTTCCTGGAGGCCGTGGAGCGGAGCCAGGAGCTGCCCAAGGATGCCCTCATCGCCCAGCTCCTGCACGTGCTCAACAATGATGAGGCGTGAGTGGGCAGGTCCAGCTGGGGCAATCAGAGCATCCCTCTTCTGCCCTAGCCCTGGACATAGAGTCAGGCAGGCTCTCCTGTCCTGGGAGGCTCATGGAAGGGACTGGGACACGTTCCTCACCCTGGGGTAGCCTGTACGGACACACTGTTCTTTGCTCCTCTCCTACCTGCTCCCCTCCTGGGCCACTGCACTTGGAAGCTCAGTGCTCTCAGAGGCTTGATGCAGGCCTTTGTGGGACAGAGAGTAGCTGGAGGTTCCCCGCGTCCGCACACAGCTACTGGGAGATTGTAGAAAGCTCCCCAGTAGTTCGCAAACCACAGAAACAAGCAGACGACCTAGGAGTATGTCATGAAGTTAACTGTCCTTTCAACATGCTGTCCTATCAGTGCTGTGGCACAGACATGCGGGTCCCAGGAATTGCCTGGGGGAAAGTTGCCCCTGACCTGACTTCCTTCAGGCACTTCAGTGGCCTCTGCACAGGGCACCTGCCCTAGGGACACCACCCTCTGGTGTGTCTTGACCATCAGCTGGGGGTCAGAGGTGCTGGCAAACTACCTTCCTTCCATTCAGTAATGTGGCCCATACTCAGGCCAGGCCACTATCCTGCCCAGATGCCCCGTAGCCCCTCAAAGGAGCCTCCACGGGCTCCCTCCCACTCTTCTCTCCTGGGACCCTCCTGGCCCCTTGCTTACTTTCCCTCTCTTCTCCAAACCACGAACCACGGCTCCTTCTGCTTCAGCACAGCCGCCCCTCAGGAAAGTCCTACTTGGGCTGGCCCAGCATCCTATGCTCAGCTGCAAGTCCACGTGGCCCTTGATCACTGTCTGCCATCCCCTCTGGCCTGAAATGGGGTCCTGGCTGCTGGATTGACAGCTGTGGTCCCAGCACCAGCTTCAGTGGCTGGTAAGCCACAGGGCTTGAATGGGCTCCTGTCACATGGAGGGATGCCCGTGGGGTACCTCTTGGAGTAGGCAGGGAGTGTGTGGGGCCAGTGACTCCCTCAGCCAGGCCCCCACCCCTAGCACCCCAACCACTCAAACCTCACCAAGACAGGAAGGTGAGTTTGCTCCGGGAGATGGCTTCTGTCCTTCCTGTGGGTGGCCCTGTACAGCTCTGACTAGATGGACCCCTGCCATTTGCAGATTCATCAGAGCCTTCCCCAGTGCTCAGCTCACAGGTGCTCATGTCCCTGGGTCCTAGGGAAGGCTCCTGGTGGTTCTGGAAGGGGGACTGGCCCGGCAATCACTATCTGGCAGCCGGGGCTCAATGATGGAGTCCTGAATAAAAAATTGGACTGAGATTTGAGGCCTTCAGCAGGAAAGTGCACAGAACAGCCCTCATGGATTCCCCAACCACTTCGTGAAGCTGGTGGGCTCCTTAGGCACCGCAGGCTTTGAGGACATCAGGAGGGGCTGCAGGTTGGGTGGGTGGAGGCAATGGTGACCTCTCCTCTTTCCTTCCAGGCAGCTGCCAGATCCAGCTATTGAGGACCAGGGCAGGGAGTATGTGCAGCCCTTTCTGAGCAAGTACGCAGCTGTGTGTGTGCGCTGCCCAGGCTATGGCACCAGGTACGAGGGGCTGCTGGGTGTGTTCAGTCCTGTCCCATGAGGAACCCGGCCTTCCCTCAACTCTATGGATCCCAGAGCCTCTGCCCTGTCTAAAAGCAGGTGCTATTTCAGCTTGGGGGGTTGTGGGGCCAGCAGATACCACATTAGTTAATGTTAGCATGAAATGCCTGCTGGCTCCCATGGGTGCTGCAAGAATGGTTCCTGGGCTGTTTCCTGCTCCCTACACAGCCATAGGGGAGCTGGGATGGCTACGGGCACCCTTGGGTTGGCAAATCCCTGTGGGCGCAGAGGTCCCACTGCCTGGCACTTCCCCTCACTCACCCTATGTCCTTGAGCCTGTCACATTCCCTGTGTGACCAGGGCAGGGATTATTAGGTCATCTCAGCCTGGGGACATCACCTAATGGAAGGGCAACTACTAGTCTCAGCTGCAAGGAGAGAATGCCTGGGAGGGAGGAGCTGTTGGCATCAGTGTCTCCTGTGCCAACAAGTTCCTTCCCTGTCTCTCCTTCCTGGGCAGAGGAAGATTGGCTCTGTGTGTGTCAGGGAGGCCCAGTCCACCCATGTGGTTCTGCCCAGGGTAGCCCATATGCTATACTTGGACCTGCCTGGGAAGTACAGAAGAGGATAGGCTTCTGGACCAGCCAGGATGCTCCAGGAGCGCGCACCTGGCCCACCTGGCCTATAGGCCAACTGTAGCCGTGTGCACAGCCACATCAGCCTGGACTTGGCTTACACCAGGCCCCGTGGGTACCAGCCTCCTTCCAGGCTGGAAGCTTGCTGTGACTATGATGGATAGGCCAAGCTCTTGGGGGCCCACAGCCGTAAGGACTCAGGGATGGGGTGCTTGGGTGGTGGCAAGTGCTGAGTGATACCAGGGTGATGTCACATGTACTCTGAGTGCATGGTGATGTTGCAAGTATGCTTGGTGTTCGGGTTCAGGTCAGCCCAAGTCTTCCATCCTCTAGGAAACGACAACTTCAAGCCCTCTAGCTGGGGGATAGGATGGTAGGCAGGGTCAGGGTGGTGTCAATGTCCAGCACTGATGCTGCAGCACCCGAGTGTTATAGACTTGAATGGTGGTCTTTCCATTGGGCAGGCTTTTCCCTTGGCAAGTGGCAGGGCATCAGTTTTTTTCAAGCTTGTCCTCTGTCATAGACTTATTTTCTTATTTTCCTGCTCACGTGTACTCATGTGCATGAGGCAGAGTGCCAGGTCTGCTCCCTGGCTGAGTGTGTGGCTGCTGGGTCCAGCTGCAGCTGGACCAGTCTTCAGCATGTGTGTGCCCATCCTGGGTGTTGGCCTGTGCTCGGCTGCTCAGGGACCTGGTGCCTGCCCTCTGTCAGGGGGAGACAGGTGCTGACTAAGTGAGGTATGGCCTTGGGGAGGGCTGGCAGGAGGAGAGAAGGTGCACTGAGCATTTGGGATGGGTAGTGGGGAAGGAGGACAGGAGAGAGTTCCCGGTGACCGAGGCCTCATTTGGGGCTCTGACAGGCAGGCAGGAGGCTGAGGGCAGAGGGCTAAACGTGGGCCCCTTGCTCTCTTTCAGAACCAACACAGTCATCCTCGTGGACGCGGACGGGCATGTGACCTTCACAGAACGTAGCATGCTGGACAAGGACCCCTCCTGCTGGGAGACCAGCACCCACGAGTTCAAGCTGCAGAGCTAACCCTTCCCCCTGGATGTGGCCACTGGGCTCCAGGAAGGCCCTGCCTCAAGGGCTAGTATGGATAGGAACTATCACATGTACTGCCTGTGACTTGGCCAGCATCCCCCAGGACCAGGGTCCTCTGGTGTTTGTGTGACCTGTCTGTGTTGTCATGTCCAGCTCAGGGTCCACCCTCATGCCAGTGGGAGTGACAGAGTCACATGGCCAGGTCTGAGGGGGGCTCAGGTGTGCTATGCATGTGTGAAGGCACCTGGGCCTACCCCCTGCCCAAACACAGAGGCACATACTCAAGGCACATGTTTCCACGCATACCTGCAGGTGCATGGTCACACACACACACGCACATGCACATATGAGCAACAGAGAGGTACACACACACACTCCCAGGCATACCCACACATGCGTGCCACACAGGCAGAGGTGTGCCTCTCACATCCACATGTGCTTCTGGCTAGTGGGTCTTTGCTTTGACCAAAACAACAGGAGTAGACTGTTGTTTAAGAGTGGCTCCTCTCCTGGGTGTAGTCCACTTCTGGACAACCAGACTTGCTCTTAGAGAGGAGAGGCCCCATTTGGAATGAGAAATGAGAACAACTCCAGAAGAACCTGCTTTCGTAACAGAAGCACCGCCTGGTTGGTTGTCCTTTGTGCTCTGGGGGATCTCCTATGTGCATGGGGTGGTCCTGTGGGGGAGGGGAGCGGTCTTGCATGCACCAGGGGTCCTGTGTATGCTGAAACACCTTGCCAGGCTCTCAGGCACCTACTTGCCTGCCCACTGGGGTCATGGGTCCTGAGCAGGCTCATCTCAGCAATGGGACACAGCCAACCCTTTCTATTTCCCTTCTCCTTGGGGAGTCGGACTTCATAGGAATCTGTCCTTGAACGTGAGACCTTGATAATAAAACTCTGAGGTGTGGTGAGTCCGTGCATTTCAGATCCTTGTGTGATGGGGGGACAGCTGTGCAGGGGATCAGTGGGGTTGCTCTCCTGGCCTGCAGGAGCTGCCAAGACATTTTCTTCAGAAGGAGCCTCTTCCCACTTTCTTCTTTTGCTCATGGGTTCCTGAGCATCATGATGGAAACCTGAGGGTCCGTTGACCTGTCCATCCATCTGTCCTTGGGCAGAGGCTGGGGTCTGAGAGAGCTTGTGTGTATGGGACACGGTAGGTACCAGATACAGGGCCTCCTGAGCTGGGCTGAGGAACCAGGGACTCATCTGGGTGAAGAGGAACCTCCTGAGAGTATAGTGTGATAAAACCTGCACTTGGGGTGGACTGTGGAGGCCAGGGGATGGTAGGAAGGAGTGGGTTTCAGGGCAAGAGGACAAGTGGAGTGTCTCTTAACCCCAGGATCCTGGTTTTGGACAAGCACTTGGGAATTCTTGTCCCTGGCCCCAGCTGAGCATCAAGGAGTCCCACGTGTGTCCAGTGCTGAGACCCAGGCTTCCATTGCCTTTGCAGCTGACCCCCAACTTGGCCTTTTCAGAGCCAATGAGAGCTTGGGGTAGGGTGTGGACCTGCACTGGGTCCTACTTGCCTCCTCAACCCTTCCCTCTTACCACCTCAAGCACCCCTCAGGGGCCCAATGTCCTCCTTGGCTCATTTTGAACTCAGAGGAAAAGTGTCTGAGCATGGTCAAGTTTGAATGGGATCCCCAGCAGCACCATAGCCCATGCCTGCAGGCCCAGGGGTAAACTGGCCCCAAGTCCCACGTTTGCTGGTTGAGCCGTACTGAGCCAGGCTCCTAGCCTGGGTACTGCTGATGCCCTTTGTCTGCCTCAGTGGGCCATGCCACATCATGGACCAGTGCTCCACACCAGCACTCACCCTGGCCAGGCGTGTCGGCCCTCATGGGGCACCACTGGGCTGGTGCAAAGCCATCTGAAGACTTTCCTAGTTGTTTGCCTGTACCCAAGGACAGGGCCTGCATGGGATACTCCTGCCCTCAGCCTGTCCTGAGCTCCCCAAGGTCCTGAGCCCTCTGAAGATAGGGCAGCCCAAGATGTAGTTCTATCATTATGGGTTGAGTTGTGTGCCCCCTGAAAGATCTGTTGGTGTCCTAGTGCCCGTGCCTCAGAATGTGACCTTTATTAGGGTCTTTACAGAAGTAATCAAGATAAAATGAAGTCATTAGGGTGGGCCCTAATCCATTATGACTGATGTCCGTATCAAAAAGGGAAAATTTGGACACAGGGACAGACATGCATGCAGGCAGAATGGCCTATAAAGACGAGCTATGCTGTGTCATGCTAAGAAACTACCAGAAGCTGAGAGAGACCTGGAACAGATCCTTCCCTGGTGCCTTCCAAGGGAGCGTGGCCCTGCTGACACCTTAATCTCAGACTTCTGGCCTCCAGAACTGTGAGACAATAAATTTCTGTGGTTTAAGCCACTCATTTGTGGTACTTTGTTATGGCACTCTAGCAAACTAATACAATTGTGACCTTCGCTCTACAGATGAGGAAATTGAAGCTTGGGGAGATACCATAATAGTGTGTCAGTCCCCTGGCAGGTGGGAAGGCAGAGTCATGAGGCCAGGAAGGAGCAAGATGAGGACAAGGTACATCCTGGGGTGTCTTCCCTTGGGACATGGCCCTCCCATGTTGGTCTCATCTGCTGCTCTGCACCACCCCCATCACCTCACTTACCTTGCCCTTGCTCCTGCCCCCACCCTTGGCCATGCTTTCTGCACTTGCTGTCCCTTCTGGTTGAAGAACTCTTCTGCCCCTATATCCAAACCACACTCTCCCTCACATCGTGCAACTCTTTGGTAAAGTCTTGGGAGGCATCCCATCTAAAGTTGCAATCTGCCTTGCCTTGGTCCCTGCTCTATTTTCTATAGTGGTTAGCACTGTAACATGCTATACATTTTGCTTGATTGTTTCTTGAATGCCTCCCTGTCAGAATGAGAGCTCCAGGAAGGCAAGGCCTTTCCTCTTTTGCCCATCACTGTATCCTCATGCTCAGGCCAAGTAGACATTTGAGCCAAGTATGACATTGCTGGCACTTCCCAAACTGCCATTCATTTAGGCCTTGAAGTGAGACCCTTTTGCAGTTAGAAGGGACCCTAGGAAACTATCCCTTCTAGAAGTGCTTTTGACATGCCACACGGAAGGCTTGGACCTGACCTTGGCATAGCTTAGCTAGTCCTCTCTGCTCATCACCAGATGCATCAGATCCCTGAGTCCCCTGTATGGGTCCTCTTTTCCCAGATGGATGGGGAATTCACTGCCTCTTCAGATGCCCCTTCCTAGATGAGCTGCTTCTGCTCTCTAGCTCTGAACAGCCAGTTGAGGTATGTTGGCATGGAGTCTGAGGTGTGGAGCTGACCAATATGGAAGCCAAATCTGTGAGTAAACAAGACCAGTCCAGGAATGCAGCTTGGCCTTGGGGCTTGTCTTGGCAGGTCTGAGCTGCTGGCCTTCTACCTGCAGAGACACCCTCCCATCCCTCTCCCTCCCCCCCACAACCCCTCCTCTGCCCCCCACCAACACCTGGTTTTTTGGTCTCATCTGCCAGCAGATAGCATCATCTAGGCTCTTTAGGAGATACCTGGCTCATGGGTGAGTTGGGCTCAGGTGGAAACAGGAACCCAGAGAGAAAAGTTTCCTCCCACAGCCTGGGCTAGAGTTCCAGCTTCTAGGCATCCATCTGAGGATGGAGTCAGATGGAGACTGTGGGAAGCCAACTGTAGTGTGTCTGAGGTCTCAAGGCTGAGGCAACTTGCTAAGCAAATGACAAAGTGTGGAGAGGTTGCTAAGGCTGGATGGTGCCATGCCAATGGTTCCTATGAGCTCTGACCACTGGGCCAGGGCCATCAGCTTGCCCAGCCACAGGGAAGCTGGCCTCCCTTGGCCAAGTCCAGGAGCCAGAACCTCATGGGGCTCGTTCACATTTTATTGTGAAGTAGCTTGTGCTAACCACTGGAGCAGCCAGGTGAACAGAAAGGGGGTAGGAAGGGACAGATGAGCCTGGGTAGGCCTCTAGCTTCCTCACCTGCAATACTCTCTCTCACCACCTTTTTGTTTTTGTTTTTCAAGTTTATTTTTTAGTAATCTCTACACCCCACATGGGGCTTGAACTCACAACTCTGAGATCAAGAGTCACATGCTCTTCTAACTGAGCCAGTCAGGTGCCCCTTTCCCTACCTTTTAAAATATTTTCATTTTGAAATGATTTCAACTTAACTAAAACCTTGAAAAAATAGAACAAAATATTCCAGTGTCCTTCACCCCAGTCCCCCAACTATTAACACCCTATCACTAGCTCTAGTAATATGATTACGACCAGGAAATTAGTGTTGATATAATACCACCAGCTACCACCTACTTTGAATTTTTTTGTTTTTAATTTGAGAGAGAGGAGAGAGAGAGAGAGAGAGAGAGAGGGAGGGAGAGGGAGAGAGAGAGAGAAAGGGCAGAGGGAGAGGAAGAGAATCTTAAGCAGGATCCACCCTGGGATCATGACCTGAGCTGAAATCAAGAGTCAAATGCTCAACAGACTGAGCCACCTGGGTGCCCCAGATCTTATTTGAATTTTACCGGTTGTTCCACTTATATCCCTTTCCTGAGTCAGGTTCCAATGCAGGGTCATGATCCCACATCACACTTAGTTGTGTCTCCTGTAATTGAAGACAGCTTCTCAGCGTATCTTTGACTTGAATGATCTTGACACGTGAAAAGCACCTGCCAATTTTTTTGTAGAATGTACCTCATTTGGGTCTGATCTTTCTTCATTCAGGTTTTGTCTTTTGGGTAGAAATACCCACAAGTCAGTCATGCGTGTCCCTTCAAGAGGCCCACGATATGTCCCTTTGCTGGTGCTGACTTTTGTCTTTATTTTTATTGAGGTTTCATTAGTATACCACAGAAGGTACATTTTAAAAAATGTTTTATTTTTGAGAGACAGAGAGAGAGAGAGAGAAAAAAATGCAAGTGGGGGAGGGGCAGAGAGAGAGGGAGACAGAATCTGAGGCAGGCTCCAGGCTCTGACTCTCAGCAGA